ATCCGGACTTGTTTGGGGGGGGGGGAGGGGGTTTTATAATCAGAACCCCCCATTACTGGGCACACTTAGCAGAGCAACGCCAGGAGAATGAAGGTGATAGAAATACAGCCGCTGCTCCTTGTCCTTTTCATGCCAGGGGACCGCCCTTGTCACTCCTGTCCTTGCCCTTGCCTTTGGACTTCGAAGGGGCAGAGTAAGAGTCCTGAAAGCAGGACAAGGCTTTCACGCTCAGGGTTTACGGGTTTGAGGCTTAAGGTTTCAGGCGGACACCTGAGCTCAGATGCGTTCACCCTTAGCTTTTTTCCTGGCTAGGATATTCAATACAAATAACGGCGCATGCCTGTACGGCTGGACAAGATCCTGCATGGACTCCAAATCGTATTCAATGGCACTCCCGGGCCTGAACTTTTTCTGGAATTCTGCTGCAGCACACATCATCTTCAAGAACTGATGCCCATCTCTGACTTCATTGTTAATCACAACGGTGAAATGCCACTCTGACTTTAGCGGCCTTTTACTGAATCATTGAAGCCTTTCCCGAATCTCCCCAAAGGTTTTGTTCAAAAGGAACGCAAGGGATCCCCAATCCCAGACTACAACCCAAGGGTTGAAGGCGCCATGAGGGACTAAATAAGTGCCAAGATCGTTTTGGGGTCTGCCTAAGGTGCCCTATACTTAACTTGTACAAGAAAAGTAGGAGCATAATATTGGTGATTGAGGGCTTAAACCCTAAACCCATCAACTTGATATTGGTAATTGCTCCTCGACGCAGGTTGCTGGCCCTTTAGGGTTTAGGGTTTAGGGAATCGTCACATGTTGACCAAACATGCAATTGTCACATGCATTCGCTACCAAAGTCCTCTTTCGAGCGACAACAAAACTGGGCCCCTAATTGTTGAAGACCCTGATTCCCTTCAACCTGTACAAGACCCCAGTTTCCATTTAATTCTCCATTATCTTGTTTGCATGATTTTCCGTGAAAAGGGTACTAACCCTATACAACCCTATATATCGTAGCTTCCATTTAGTTTGCCATGTTCTCTTCAATTTGATTCTCCGCTGTTGGCTTCATAGACCCAAAAGAATCCTTCTGCGCCCCTGGCTAAGGGACCTCGGACTTCTACTTCGTTAATTATCCAGTTGATGCTTCGTGAATTATCCAGTTGATGCTTCGTTTAATGTTCCATTATTTGGGGTAATAGCCCACGTAGAACCCCTATAAACCCCCGTAAATAATAGGTTCCACGTTGCTTTCCATTTGATTTTCCGTTTGACTCTCCATTATTGGTCTTGTACCGAAGCCCTAAACCCTGAATCGTAGTTTCCACTTTGTTTCCATTATACCATATACCTATAGAGTTTGAATGCAACCCCTGTATAGCTCCTCCCAGGAGCTCTTTCCCTTGCCTTTGCTTCCCTTCTTGCCCTTGCCCTGCACTCAGGCCAGCTTTCAGGGCGTTAGGGATTTGAAGGGAAACACCAGGTGTGGACGAGCAGTCATCGAAAAGTACAGAAACAATGATAGTAAAAAAGGTGATGGTAAATATGTGTATATACACTACTAATGAACACAGCCATAATAGTAATAAGGGTAATAGCAATAAGAATAGGCATAGCAATAATAAGAATAGTAATCATAAAAACAAGTATAATAACAATAGTAATATAAAGTTATAATATGCACCACCAGAAAACCGGAGGTTCCTTTGCCTTGGGCTCCTCGTAGTCGTCATACCTCAGAAGCAACCCAATGAGGAGCCAAGTTCCACCATTCGAATGAAGTCCAGAAACTATCATTTAATGTTACTATTATTACTGGTATTCTTTTTTCTTGATTACTATTATTATGATTATTGCTTTTTATTACTGTTAATACGACTATTGTTATTATTGTTGTTACTACCCTTGTTGTTATCTTTAAATAGGGCTTGAGTCAAGTCGCCTGCTCTTGCTCTTGCCTTTGCTCTTGCCCTTCCCTTTGCCCTTCGACTTGGACGGATAGTCATCGTCATAGTCATCATAGTCCCGGCCCTGCCAGAAACAATATGATCCACATGATTTGGAGATTTTCCAAAATCAGGGGTAACTTTTGGGGGGTCCCCGTAATAAGGACTATAGTATATTGGGGCCCCTATTTTGGGATACTACTATTTGGAAGCGTACTTCATGCGCCATTAAGTTCCAGCCTTGGACTTTCCTTTGCCCTTGCCGCCCTTTCCTCGCATGGTGCGCCATGCCCACAAGACATCCGCAGGCTGCGCACACAAGTATTCTCAATTGTCATGGCTCGCTCTATGCAGAGAATGATATGGTTGTATTGGGGATATACTGGGACAATGGAAAATGAAGCGGAAACTACTATTGTATGCAGGCATGATATCGGGATAATGGCAAAGAGAAAATGGAAACATGCTAGTGCAGGCCTTTTCCCTTGCTCTTGCCCTTCCTGGGCTCGTCGTCATCCGACTTTCCCTTGCCCTGTCAGTCCGTTTTATGGAGTTTTGCTGGTGATCCTGAACCCAACCTGAAAACTCAAAACTGAGTGCAGACATGCAGAGACTGCAGCGACAGGACGACCAGCGCCTTGCCGCGCCCTCTGCCTTTCCTGGCCAGCCATAAGGAATCGAATGTGCAGCCTCTTTACCTGTACTGTTGCCATTATTAATAGCAGTATGGTTCTCTGTGTTGTCATTCTCGGCTTTCACTATTATTCGCATGAGTAATGCATTCTCCCAATGGCTAAAAGTACGTTTGGTTTCTTCTTGTTATGCTGAATCATGAACAGAAGCCGAAGCAATCCTATGCCTATTCAACATGACCACGAGAAACACAACAAACGAATCAGGCAGCGCACCCCCAGGTCGACAGCGCACCAGCAGCAGCACCATCAGCAACAGCACGGAACGCGAGTGGCGCCAGCAGAATGCATAGCTTCTGAAATCGTCCGCAATCTGGACACCCCAGAAAAAAAAAAAAAAAACACTGAATTCCTACTCGTTTATACCACTTGAAAATGCGTTAGATTCTTGTGGGCCATTTTTTGTGGATATTGGTCCTTTTCAACGATCCCTGGTAGACGCTAATGCTCCTTGACGCCCAGTGTCTCACAACCCGGGTCCACAGGATGACATCTCAAAACTATTCCTTGAAGGACTGAAGCGTGGCTCCCGAAACAGGAGCCCATGATTGGGGCATGATTCCTAGATGGCTGAATGAGTTGTAAGTTCCCTTGATGGTAAGGCTTGTGGCCTGTTGGGATCCATGCCTTGGAAGTTGCTGCCGTATACTGTCCATAGCAGCAAAAGGAACCACCATCGAAAAGCCCCGAACATGTTCCCTTCTAGCAACATCAGAAAGGGCCCACAATGTCACAGACACTCAGAATGAGGGGCCTTGTCTAGTCACAATGGTCCAAAGAATGCACACTGTCAATGACCCAAAGACCCAATTTCCATTTCAGGCCTTCAAAAACATGTTTTCCAACAAAACCCTAGTTTTGGTCTATTTCACTGAGGGAGCCACCCTCGACCGCGGCCCTTTCCCTTGCCGCGGCCGCCTGCAAACAGGATGGCCAAGAGACATGCTAAACCGCAGGACTTTCTGTCAGGGTCTATGGGGTTGCATGGTGGCAAATGCAAGAGATTGGCTTTTGGAGTATTTCTCCATGGGCAGGCCAGGATTTCCGGGTGAGCCTGGAACCACAAAAGAGCAGCGCTCCTGTACCTTCTGGCGGACCTATCCATATGCGGCCACGCAGAGTCCAGATCCGGTCAAAGAGTTACGTGGATCAAGGGATCCAGGTAGTCTATGTTAGTCGTGATGTGTGGAGGGCTTGCTGTCATAGAAAGAGATGATGATCAAGATGTATCATCAGTAGCATTGCCTATCCGTGCAACTTGCACAATTCTGAGCTTTACATGGCACAGATGCCCATACTAGCACTAGGGTAGAGTTGTTTCTGACATCACCATTACTACAGAATCCACGTGGAAGGCAGAGAGGCCTTTACCAAGGCCACGTCCCCGACCTCGGACCATGTCCTCCCAGGTAGAAGGTATTTGAGCTATAGCCTCAACTCCTAGTATACCCCTTAATAACCCTATTATAGTCTCCTATATTCTCCCCTAAATGACCAACCTTTGAGGAGTTTAGACTACAGCTCATTTAGGTTCAGCATGGAGCTTGGAGGTCTGAGAGTCTCTGTTCTGGGGTTCGACTAATTGAAACTTCTGTTTAGGAATTGAAACTTTCACATCCAGAATACAAGGATTGCAAGTCTACGACCCACTTCGAAGTTCTTCTCAACACCTCGAAAAGAATTCTCGAAGTCCTTGTTGGGAACTTCATTCTCCTGGCAAAGAATACGAGCTCACCTAGGGAGGAGTCATAGAGACGGCTTCTCAGATCTGAATACTTACAGCCCTACCCCCATCAACCCCGTATACTCCTAGCTTCTGAGCTTCCAAATGGTGATTTCCAAAAACAGAGGTCCCTACCATGCCCCAAAGTACTAGAAGTCCATTTATATGGACAATCCAATGCCTAAACCCTGAACCCTAAACCCTAAACCCTAAACCCTCTACCCTAAACCCTAAACCCTAAACCAACCCTGAACCCCAAGCCCCAAGCAGTCCTCAGGCTCGAACTCCTTGACCAAGGACTCGTCCAGCGGCGCCTGGTAGCCTTTGTCGGTGGTGTCCAGGGCCTCCTGATCACTAGTATCCCTATAGGGGTTATCTAGGGATATATAGGGATTAGGGTTTCCCAAAATTAGGTGTATATTTCCCACAATAATGGAGAATCAAATGNNGAAACTGCTATGTATAGGGTTATGTTCCTGATGCGGTTTAGGGTTGAGGGTGATCACTTCTCGGATCTCGTGGTCCTTCTGTGGGCTGTTTAGGAGCTTGAGGTCATTCATGGATGTGGACCCTAAACTACTGTAACTAGGGGGCAGCAGAATCGGGCAGGATGCCCTCCATCTAAACCCTAAACCCCTAAACCCTAAGCCCCTAAACAACAGTGTCCAGGGCTGGCTTTCTACAAAGCTTGCTCCAGCCGTCTACGCCTTGCTGTACCGACATTCTAAAAAGATCACACCCTCGGCAGCTCAAAGGAATTTAGGGTGTAGGGTGTACGGGGATTCAAGTAATTTTCCGTGGTAATCGCCCAAGCCGGTCTTTTGCTAACTCAGGTGCCTTGGACAGCTTGATCTCGATCACGGAGACGTTGCGGACGTCTGTAACCTCTGAAACATAGCTTAGGGTTTACATGGTCTTGGTTGGATTAAAATGAAATTACCTATTTCAAGGCTGAGGGAATTCTGGGGACAGGATGCTCTTACCTGCATCGCTGTCAGCTTGTCATGTAAATCAGCTTGCTGCATACATGAAGGTTGAAGTCGCTGTGTGGAACTATAGCCGTCTTTTGTTTCGCGTCCACCTGTCGCTCCCTACTACCCCACAAGGACATCTTTTGTCTAAACTACACAAGCCATTTTCTGCGATCCTCACAAAGTTCAAGGACGGGTGATGCGATCAGGTCAATACAGGGAAACCCAACTTGAAGACGAAGGCTTGCCTTCAGAAGTGGGGGGAGAGTCTTTTGTACTCGAATCTTATGCTACTTACTCTAATCACTCTAATCCTGGCCCAGGATGAAACCTTCAAAGGAGAGCCGAAGTGCCTTGTCCAGGCCTTCCTCGAGGGGCTCATACTCGTCAACAATTTCAACCTCAGCCCGCAAGCCACACATAAAGCAAGCTAAAACGCAATGCAATTTACAGCACCTGATATGATTTTGCATGGGTTCATCTGGCCTCCACATGGGCTATAGTCTAAACTCCTTAAAAAAAGGGGTTATATACGGGATTTTATAGGGGACTATTTAGGGGCTATTAAGGGGGATAATGTTGGACCCTCTTATGCATGGGGACCC